CGAGCGGAATTCCGGGGCGAGGTTTTGTTGTAATATTCGGGTCACGGTGGATCCGAAGCGCAGAAAATACGTTGCTTCTTATCCAAGAATCCACGAAAACCGCGAGCCGTTGTTCGCAACTTCGTGCTCGCATAAACGTTTCCAGTCGTTCGGGATTCGTGTTTACGGCTGGTAAAAGGAATACCAAGGATAAGCAGGGTAATGCTTTCGCCCGCGTTGATGGCGCTTGTAAACGAGCTGTTCGCGTATTACCGCGCGATGCCCCACGGTTCGACTCTGCTCGGCTCGGCTTCGCCCATCCACCCAGTTTCCCTATCTTTCTATTGGCACGAGTATTCCGGCGAATCGGTTAACAGGATTTTTCCAATTCCCAGTAACGAATGGAGTTTTCCAATGTTGTTCAACTTCGACAGATGTTAGTATTATAATCAAATATGTTATACATTAACACTATAACTAGATAGGTCAAAATGATGCTTTCCTTGATGTTCTCTTTTGGAATTACTGAAAACGTACGAGTTCCTCTTTGAGGAATTACTAAAGAAGCTGATTAAGTAATACCTAAGCTAAAATTTAAATTAATTCAGACTTTAATAAATCCACGTGTGTAGTTTTTTAGAGAAATTCTCGAAAGTCAGTTTAAGGGCTCGGTAGTTCGTGTTGAATTGACTTTTTGAAATTTCTTTATGGGAACTCTAAGAGTGAATCTATCGAGACTTTGAATGATTTAAAATTCAGTTAGGGTATTGCTAAGTGAGTTCCTTGAATAATTTCTCAGAGAAACATCTGTCGCCTTTTTAATCATTGTAAAATGTAGAAATTAGAGATGGGCTTTAAATTAGATGTAAATCTAATTTCTTTGCACGAAATATGAAACATTGATCGTGTTAATTACCGAGTAACCAAAAGGTATTGTTTTTCTTTTCTTGTTCAGTTATAAAATATCTACTATACAAATTAAATTAAAATAATGAAGAAGCCATCCTATTCTTTACTATTTTTCACTTATATGATCTGTTACCAATTTGTTTATTTCAAACTTTTTTCAATTTATCATCTTCACGTGACAATTTGATATAATTATTTCGGATCCATATTTCTCCAACTATTTTAAGGTAATTTTTGCTTCGAGAATAAACGATTTACTAAAAAATATCGTAGTACTAAAGTTCTGACAGAGGCAAACATCATGGTTGCTGACAGAAGAGTTGACATTCGTTGAATATGTAAAATATGTAAGTAGGTGGGCGAGTACCTCTGTGAATAACTGTATGCACCGAGCTCCATCACTCAAGAATGCCTTCTGTTCGAGTAGCATATCGATCTCGCAGTGGACGTGTTAAAAATTCTGATACCGCGAGTCGTTTCCCGTGACGAGATAAATTGAAATCGCGGAATGGACTCACGCGGCGCGAGCACGAATCGCGAGGAAATGTAATTAAGATATGTAAATAGTTCTTTTTAAACGAATCGCGGAACCTTCTAATCTCTAACAACCGCGGTTTCGTTATTGCACGTTCGTTAAGTATTTTATACGTGGCCCTCCGCGTTTTTAAGAACTTAAGCCATTGCGGCGCTTGAAATATCATCGGACTGCGAAAACGGTCCTTTTTCTTGCTGGATCAAGGAACACCGTTCTTTATTGCCGTCGGATGCTAATTGCTAGTTACTTTAATGTTTTATACCACATCGAAATGCATACGTTTGATTATTTCGCGTTCTTAACATTCAAACTATTAGATAGTACAAATTGATCCACTTACGAACTCTCATTTTGCAAGTATTTAACACTAGAACTACTTGTTTCGTAATTACTAATATTAGATGCTCAAAAGCATCTTGAAAATAAATAATTTCACTTGAAAATAATCTATTGTTATAATTTTTATAGGGATTACATATTAATCGTATTAAATGCTCGGTAGTTCTAGTGTTAAATTATGAAGGCGTTTTTGCGAAAGATTTTTAATGTAATTTGCGTATTTGAACAGATACAGGCCTAGGATCGTTCGAATTTCAAGAAACGTATTGCTCCAGTTTTATAAACAATCGGAAATAAGTCACTTTGATTGCTCGGCAGTTTTAGTGTGAAGATTTTATGCGCAGAGTCTCGTTAGAAGTGTAAGTGAGTGTTTCTTCTTTTTGGATTGAACGAGGAATATTTTTTCCTGTCGTCGAAATTATACGACAATTATTGCGTGTGTACTGAGCATTTTACCTTCGGTATTTTATTTCGAAGATTTTACGTCTCGCGCGTGTTGGGAATGCAATTAAGGTAATGCGATGCTTTATTGCTGTACGTTCATAATTGTTATATGGATTGCAGAATGTTTTAAGTGACGTTAAACTCTGGACGTTGAATGTTCTATCTGTTTAAAATTTTCTGTCGTCGCGTTTGAAATGTAATGGTATTAGTTCTTATTGACTGGGTTGCATAATTAATTCAATGATTGTTAATGATTATTGATTACTGTTTGAGTAAACAGTTCTGAAATGAATTATCTCTTGTGAATGGGTTCTCTCAAAATTATAATAGAATATGAATTATTGAAATATTAACAGAAAATTTTGAATGGTAACGTCACTTTGATGTGTAGATGTATCAGTTCTCTCATTTGTTTGCTGAACATGCCTGACCAAGCGTTGTCTTGTTCTACTGTTTCAATCATAAAATTGACGAAATACTTCGTATTCTTTAACTCTGTTGAACAATTATTTATACTAACACTTCATTGAGTGTAATAATAACTTCAGTATAATAATATTTTGTATAAATATTCATTATATAAACTCAAGTGGATGGAGAATAAATAATTGCGTCAGAAGAAAAATAAAAGAATTAACACACCGCAGATCGTAGTGTTAAATACTGATTATATTTATTACTTCTATTCCGATCAAAATCATAATATTTGCAAATAAGTATGTAAACAATAAACTGTAAATATAATTCCTATGAATTTCAAATCTGTTTCTTTAGTTTGACGACAATTACCACACTGACATCGAAAATAATTCGTCAACCTTTCAATGAAATAAATTATATAAATTCGTCGTACTTTATATTACAATCTTCTGCATTTTAATTTTCTTCGACAAACAGTTACTATTTATTTAAATAAATTGCTCCAAATTGGAAATTATATTGTTGTTTGCTAGACGTGTTACCTTGAATCTTCACGAACAAAGGGAAAAAAATATCAAAGCAATCTCAGTGAGAAAACAACACTTTATAAATAATGGGCGAAATAACAATCGGAACTATCCCAGACTAAACCGGTCAATTTTAATTGTTCGAAACTGAGAATCTGTTAACTAGAATTATTGAAGTGCGTTTGCAGTTCAGGATGACGAAGGACGGGTATAAAAATTCTGCATTATACTGGCGTCTCATAAAAGCGGGTAATGGCCGCCGTAAAAAGTTTCGTTCCGAAGTATTCGCGTAACCTGTTTTTATTATATTATAAAAAACGTTCTAGCATAGAAGTTGCGAGATGACTCAGAAACGAAGGTTTAAAATTAATTTTATTTTCACCAATATCTGAAAAATATATCCCGATCGAAGTGAGCAATACATGGGCGTTATTGAAAATCGTTTCGGGGACAGTAATACTAAAAATGCTTTATACTCTCGTAACTAAACCAATGTCTAACAAAGAATCTATTTCACAGAGTTTTCATTCATAAAACGAATTATTAACTTTGTCGTATTAGCATTTTTATGCAATAATTTCGCTAGGAGAACTTATTGAATAATTCACAACAAATATTCTTTATCGCAAATGGTTACATTGATATTTCTAAATATTAGTCAATATTTTTCTCTCCTTTAATCAACGCAATGTAATACGCTTTCGAGGAATAGCTCCTTTACTACCCAGAAACGATCACAAAGTCTAGGCACTTTTTATCGGAAACAGGAATAACAGATGACATAATTATTCCATCGAAACTAACAGAAAGAAATTTATATAAAAATAGCGAGTGCCTAAAGCACAGATCAACCAACGAACATTAAAATCATCTGTTTCTACAATATTAATATTTCTCAAGCGACATTAATAAGAATATTTTGAACAAATATCATAAATCACATCGTATATATCATCGAAGTGAATAAATTTCGCAGTAATCATAAATAAAGACAGAAAGAGGCTGCCAGATCTGCGAGCAGAATGGAAACAAAACGTCATTGAAGGATAAAAGCCAGCGAATCATTAATTCTCATAATTTCAAACTTCTTCGCGTTCGTCGTATTGACTGCGATGCCGCAACTGAAATGCGTTTCGTTTTTGCCGCGGAACGCGCGGCGGCGCGATGGCGTTTACGCTGGACGAGGGATTTTCTTAAAACCTCGAAGTGAGTTTTTTTTCGGAAAAAAAGAGCTCAGTTCTATTGGGCATAAAGGTCGTCGGATCGACGAAAACAACGGCACTAAACCAGGCCCTATTAATTTCTCTGGTCCTTCCGTGGGTTGGTCGTTTGTCACTGTCAGACGATACTATTAACCCGGGTGCCGTTGTGTGCCGTTTGATCGGGAAAATTATTGCGGCTGCATGTGAAATTGTCACGGAACAGGTACCGTTCATGAAAGACTGCCTTCATCGTGATAGCATCGCAAAATGTGTGAACGAACTTTTAACCTTTATCGAAGCGGTTGCAACTAAAATTTAATTGTTTCTTTTCAAATGGGAAAGACTGAAGTTGGGGCAATCGAAATATTGTTAATTATTTCTTCGTTGATTGTATAACCGAGCAAGTCTATCGCATTATCTAAAGCATACTGGACTACATAAAACTGTAAATTTTACGTTTGCGTCGTTAATGAGCTATACAAGTGGATAATTGACGAGGTTAAACGATAAAGATAAGAAAGTTACCATTTCTCCAAACAATGGCTCATGTAAACGTGAATGTATTGCTCCCTTATTATTTGTTGAAA